CAAAGTGGACATAAGAACACGTATAACTGTATTCTGTGCCTCATTACATTCCAACTGACTCTTGAACTTGACACATCCTATCACTACAATAAAATCCTAAAATGAAATATTTACATTGCTACTGAACAACAGCAATTTACATCATAATTTATGGCATAGCATTAGACACTACATGACGAACATAATAATGATTTTTTTCACATTCGAAACTATAACATCAATTAAGGGTTAGGAGTACGCTATACAACAAGAACACTACTTTAAGTTTGTGATTTCATCTAAAAAATACAGAAAATAAAAAACAAGACGTTTATAACATCAAAATTAAATCTTTTTAAATTAAGATACAGTTGCTCTGCCATTGTAATGTAACAAAGACTCAAGTTACAGGAGTTGCTCCTTGGTGATCTCTGTATTCTAAATCTTCGCCATTTTCTGCCAGCAGTTTCAAGTCGGCCAACATCTGCCTTTCGGTGGCCGCTCTGGTTTCATCAATCATTTCTTGTGTCACACCTGTATCAACCAGTGTTACGTAAAACATTTAATGATTTGATCACGTCAAAATCTTACCTCTTACTCCAGATAACATAGATAAAAATGTTTTATTTCTAATTTTATAATATGTCAAAATCAAATTAAACTACACAACAGATCTATACTGTGGATTTCGCCTGCTGTCTTGATTTTTAGATGATGTTTTAGGCTTCAGGCTCATAAAGAATTCATCAAGGAGTCTGGAAACACTGTCTTGAAATAAGGAAAAACAGCAGAAAAAGTCCATAGAAAACTTAGTTTAACACACTGCCTCAATCCACTTCTAACAGAGATTCGTACTGTGTTTATGTAGCTTCGAAACCTAAGTTAACTTGCATGTTTATAATGGATCATAGTAATTTGGAAACACTCGGGGTACTAACTGATATTTTTGTCTTTCAATAAATTATTATTATATGCTGTTCCTTGTGCTTTAATTTTTCTTGATTAGTTTCATACTTTTAACTCGATTTAGTAACGTAAAACTCTGACATATATTACACTATTTAGACTAACCCTAATATATTATATAATTTTCTTTTATTAGCGCCCTCTAATGGATTTTTAAAGCACTATTTCTTTCAGCAATATTGGCTTTCTCAGTCATTTAAGTCAATCTTGAAAGACCTAATTTTCCAGGATTTTTGCTTATTAGCAAAGTTTAAAACAATTTGATAACTGATATTTGAGCAATCAGTAATGCGAATATGGTTTAAAAAATAGACTACAATTTGAGCAGGTTCAGAAACTTGAATTTTACTTACAAAATTAAGCAACTGACAAAAAAGAAATGTGAGAAAGAAAATACTTTGTGTTTGTAAATACTAGCCTATCAATCAGATTAACATATGAAAGAAGTTTCATCTTACCTCGTTTGGCCATTTCGGACTCGATGTAATCCAAAGTAGCGTCATCTTCACAAATATCATATGGCATATTTCCATCCGCATTCACAGCTAACAGATCAGCATTCCTAGAACATGAAAGAGAAATTAAACAGATCTACCTTCGTGTTTAAGTACGAGATGCAACCTAAAACATTTACAAAGTCAGAAACAGGATAGGTCTATATTGTTCTTGTCAAAACTCCTGAAAGTTTTAAGCATTAGCGTATGAATATATATAAATTTTTTTACTTGTACACGTGTAATTACCTATAAATTGTAGCTTGAGAATACATTTCAAAAAGCTTGTACAAGGATTCAACAAAAGCCTTCTCTATACCAACCATTTCATTCCTCTTTCGCAAAATTAAGTCTTTCGCTGTTTGGGTATTATAGAAAAATGTACATTCTTGTTTCCTCATATATTTATCTAAATAAATACTCAATAATGTGGATAAATATTTCACCGCAAGGTGTGATTATTTCAATCACGTGTTTCGTTTCTTTTCAAACATACCGTGATTTAGCAATGTTATCACTCGTTAAGGGCCTCTGAAACATATCTCTGGCAGCAGTTGTCAGCAGAATTATGTCATTTTTATTTTTTCAATATAAATAGTGGGGGACCTTGATAATGGTCATCTGCTAAAGTTATCTTTCCATTTTGTTACAGGTGAAGGCCTATAAATACTCTCCAACACAGTTGTCATCTAATGCTACTAAATACTACTTGGTAAACACAAAACTCTTTGTAGCAAAGATATTGAGAGTTTGACCGATACCTCCTAAACAATATTCCTGATAAATAATTTTCTTGTTCAGTGTTCCTGTTGAAAAGGATATACGTTCATACTTAGCTACAGGAATATTGTTTAGGAGGTATCGGTCAAACTCTCAATATCTTTGCTACAAAGAGTTTTGTGTTTACCAAGTAGCATCAAATGGGTACAAATGTAGAATGTTTGTTACTTCTATAAATAATTTATTTGTTCAGTGTTCATGTTGAAAACGGTATACGTTCGTAATTAGCTAAGAAGTAACAAACATTCAACATTTATAAAATGAAGAATATGTTGTTGTTGTTTTTTAATCGGAAATTTAAGTGCTTTATTATAAGTTAAGAGTTCCTATAAGTAATTTTATAAATGAACTAATCATTGAAGAAACATCTGAACAACTTCACAATCTTTCACATCACATCTAAAATGCTCCTCTTTATAGCCTCATATAAAATTTTACACTAAATCCCAAACATCCTTGCTGTTCCCAGATTTTATGTAAGCTTTGACACTACATCCAAGACATCCTTGCTATTGCCAAAGATTGTATGTAAGCTTTGACACTACATCCAAGACATCCTTGCTATTCCCAAAGATTTTATGTAAGCTTTGACACTACATCCAAGACATCCTTGCTATAGCCAAAGATTTTATGTAAGCTTTGACACTACATCCAAGACATCCTTGCTATAGCCAAAGATTGTATGTAAGCTTTCACACTACATCCAAGACATCCTTGCTATTCCCAAAGATTGTATGTAAGCTTTGACACTACATCCAAAACATCTTTGTTATCCAAAATAACTTCAAGTAATTTGTCATTTGATGTCAAGTGAATAGTTTGAACTAATTAGCTTACTTGGCAATTAGGTATTTCACCAGATGAAGATGACCACAGGTAGCTGCTGCATGAAGTGGAGTCCACTGTTCACTGTCCTTGGCATTCACATTGGCACCAAATTCTATTAGTAATTTCATCATCTCCTCGCTATCGTCGATACAGCACTGAAAAGACAACATCATCACATGAGAGTATTGTTAAGAGAATGTATTATTGTATCAATGTAAGGAATAGCTGACTATTGAATTGACTTGAAAGGTAATTTATCATTCAAATACCTTGAAAAAAACCCACAGGAAAATTTGAATAAGTGGACAGAGCAGTTAAAACCAACACAAGATCTTTCTAATAATAATAAAATAATAGTTGTTGTTCTGTACAACATTTGCAGCTATACTAGAAAGTAGAAAACAAAAATTATACATTCAGGGAATGAAATATTACACTCCCACATTCCCAAGGAATTTAACTTTGCTTGAGGAATTTCATCTTTTTAGTTGTTTTTTCCCAATCGGGGATGTACGGTCCATCCATATTCCTTCAGTTACGACCAAAGAAAGTGAACATATTGCATGGATTAAATTTAAAAACAATTCATGAGGGAATGTAATCTTCCCGATAGCTTTACCTCAAGTTAATGTAATTTTATTATTTCTATCCTCAACATTATGTCCCTAAAAGTAGCTCAAACAGATCCCATTCTTCTTAAATAACAGTTTAGAATCATCGTTTTTATGACCACGTAAAATCAATTACTTGATCAGTTTAGGACATTTTATCTCATCAACTTTAATAAGATATACACAGCAAAATACCTCAATATTCTTTAAATAATTTTCATAATTTATAAAGCAAGTTAAAGTTATGGAATGAAACAAAAATATCTAAGAAATATACATACCTGATGCAAAGCAGTGAGACCATCTTCGTTTGTCGAGTCGGGACTTACTCCTAACATGAGTAGCCTCCGAACTATACAGATAAAAAAAAAAACAGGGACATAATGAGAAATGTGGATAATACGTGGTCCTTTACTACTTTATAGTAGAAATGTTTGGTAACACGACTTTAAAATTCAGCAAGTGTTCAAAACGTTACGTTAGTATCCATTTGATACAGCACATTTTGATGGGTTTGCATAAAGACGGGAAACTGTTAGTATCCATTTGATACAGCACATTTTGATGGGTTTGCATAGAGACGGGTCACTGTTAGTATCCATTTGATACAGCACATTTTGATGGGTTTGCATAGAGACGGGTCACTGTTAGTATCCATTTGATACAGCACGTTTTGATGGGTTTGCATAGAGATGGGGTCAACTAACAATGAAACAGTCTGTATCAATGTTCAGAGGGATGAAAAGTGAGATTAACAACTACAACCACTAAGATAAACGTAGAATTTGCTGCTGAAAATCTTTCAAACCTGCGAGTTCAAGATGCAAAGTTCATTTCACAGAAGTATAACGTACAGGGTATCAAAGTATTATAATGAAGTTGATTATGACCAAGTATATTCATCTTACCAGTCCAGATCTATATCTGTTATCTTTTTTACTCGAGAAAAATAACAGCAGGAAGGAGCTGCCAGTTAAATGTTCGAGGCGTTAGCAAAGGATGCCTTTATAATGTGAAAAATGTTCTTCTTTAAAGATAACGTGTAACATCTTTAAACATTAAATAAATGTTGAGAATATCATTTTAAATTCACACGCACATATACAAAACAACTTACTTTAACCATTTAACACCCGTTAACAGCATTTTTCAACACATTCAACCATATAACCTTGTTTTAACTATTTAACACCCAACAGCCGTATTCTTCTATACATTCAACAATTTAAACCTTGTTTTAACCATTTAACACCCAATAGCAGCATTTTTCTACACATTCAACAATTTAAACCTTGTTTTAACCATTTAACACCCAATAGCAGTATTCTTCTATACATTCAACAATTTACTCCCTGTTTTAACCATTTAACACCCAATAGCAGTATTCTTCTATACATTCAACAATTTACCCCTTGTTTTAACCATTTAACACCCAATAGCAGCATTCTTCTATACATTCAGCAATTTACACCTTGTTTTAATCATTTAACACCCAATAGCAGCATTCTTCTATACATTCAACAATTTACACCTTGTTTTAACCATTTAACACCCAATAGCAGCATTTTTCTATACATTCAACAATTTAAACCTTGTTTTAACCATTTAACACCCAATAGCAGTAATCTTCTATACATTCAACAATTTACTCCCTGTTTTAACCATTTAACACCCAATAGCAGTTTTCTTCTATACATTCAACAATTTACACCTTGTTTTAACCATTTAACACCCTATAGCAGCATTCTTCTACACATTCAACAATTTACACCTTGTTTTAACCATTTAACACCCTATAGCAGCATTCTTCTACACATTCAACAATTTACACCTTGTTTTAACCATTTAACACCCAATAGCAGCATTCTTCTACACATTCAACAATTTACCACTTGTTTTAACCATTTAACACCCAATAGCAGCATTCTTCTACACATTCAACAATTTACCACTTGTTTTAACCATTTAACACCCAATAGCAGCATTCTTCTACACATTCAACAATTTACACCTTGTTTTAACCATTTAACACCCATAGCAGCATTCTTCTACACATTCAACAATTTACCACTTGTTTTAACCATTTAACACCCAATAGCAGCATTCTTTTATACATTCAACAATTTACACCTTGTTTTAGTCATTTAACACCCAATAGCAGCAATCTTCTATACATTCAACAATTTAAACTTTGTTTTAACCATTTAACACCCAATAGCAGTATTCTTCTATACATTCAACAATTTACACCTTGTTTTAATCATTTAACACCCAATAGCAGTTTTCTCCTATACATTCAACAATTTACCCCTTGTTTTAACCATTTAACACCCAATAGCAGCATTCTTCTACACATTCAACAATTTACTTGTTTTAACCATTTAACACCCAATAGCAGTTTTCTTCTATACATTCAACAATTTAAACCTTGTTTTAACCATTTAACACCCAATAGCAGTTTTCTCCTATACATTCAACAATTTACCCCTTGTTTTAACCATTTAACACCCAATAGCAGCATTCTTCTACACATTCAACAATTTACTTGTTTTAACCATTTAACACCCAATAGCAGTTTTCTTCTATACATTCAACAATTTAAACCTTGTTTTAACCATTTAACACCCAATAGCAGCATTCTTCTATACATTCAACAATTTACACTTTGTTTTAACCATTTAACATCCAATAGCAGGTTTCTCCTATACATTCAACAATTTACCCCTTGTTTTAACCATTTAACACCCAATAGCAGTTTTCTACTATACATTCAACAATTTACACCTTGTTTTAACTATTTAAGACCTATTTTTCTTTGAGATATTTGGTTACATTCTGCTTTATTTAACATTAAATTAACCAAACATCCTCTTAAATGATTTTAACAATTACTGACAATTAAATTTTTTACTTTTATAATAAAAAAAGGAAGTTTTGTTTATTTTGTTTCTGGCAAAGCTACTTAAGCTTTCTGCCGCAATGTTCAGTGGGAAGGCAAGAGACTGGCAGCACCCACCGCCTATTCTGCTAACTAGTAGTGAGATTAGCTATCACATTATAAGGCCTCCACGGTTAAAAAATCTTAAATTTTTTTCTTCACACATTCATGCTGCTATAGTTACTTTTTTTTTTATCAACTCCGAAATAAAAATGTTCTACAAGAGTTACAAACTAACTCAACTAACGCATTATAAATTTGCGGTTAATTTGAAAGTCGTTTACTGGAGCCAAAGCAATGGATTTCCCCTGGTACCCCCCCCCAAAAAAAAAAGAAGGGGAAAAATTACTGCTATTTTCCTGCTTCGCATTCCATTATCAAACCTTTTTTTTTTCTACATTATCTTTACATCTCAAGGAACAAAAAGTTGATGTTTTTAACCCCCCCCCCCGTTCTACACGTTTCCTTTGGTTTAATCACTTAGATAATATTTGCTATTTCAACTGTGACTCTTAAACCTGCTTGTTATTTCCTAACATGAATTATTCAACAACGTAAATGTCTCATTTCCATTCATCCCAGAAGTAATTGCTAACGGCTGAAGTTGTGACACCAGCGCCATCTTCCGGTCGTGTAGAAACAACACATTTTCATGACAAAGAAACCTGTAATAGTTCAGAAACATTTTACCAAGACAAAGAAATAAAAATGTAACGACGAAGGTCGTTTAGAAAAAAAAAACTACATATTTATAGGATAAAACAAGTCTCAAACATGATGCAAGTATGATGCAAATATTTTTCGAGGAAACTTGCTGCGATTGTGTAATTAACATAAATTATTATAAATTCGATTTTGTGCATCTATTACACAATGTTATTTGAGATGAGAATTATAGATTATTGTGAATATAATCCTTTTTTTTTCTTTTTTTGGCCAAAACACATGCAAATATTATTTTATAATTACGATATGAGTGAGAAAAACGAGAAATTATAAAAAAACAAAAAACAATTAGAAATGTCTCATTTGAAAGAACTGCTAACTTCGCCTTTCCTGAAATAGTTTGGAATATATCTGTGGTAAAGTACAGGGTGGCCCAAAATCATATTTCCTGTTTTAAAAATTATTAATAAAACTACTAAGGAAATACAACCATGCAGTTTTCAACATATTGTAGTTCAACTTAATTTTTGTTGTCACGTTATTTTTTTTGTCTTATTTTATTTTTATTTTGGTGAGTAGTGTTACCACCTAAAATGGCCCGTGTAAGAAAAGGCCCAATTCGTCGTTTGACTTGCAGAGACCAAGTCAGTGAGCTATGGCGAAGCGTAATTAAATACGTCAGTACAGAAAAGATGTATGGGGGTATGTTAAGGATATCGTGTATCACACACACCTATAGACCAGGATAACGAACGCCGTCGCCACTGTAACTGTGGACATGTTGCAACGTGGACTGCAATCGAATATCGGTTAGACGTGCTGAAAGCCACTAATGATGCACACGTAGAAGTCCTCTGACATGTCAATAAAACCTATTTGAGTTGGGATAGAAGATGTTGAAACCTGCATGAATGTATTTCCTTAGTTAATTAACTGTT